TAATTAAAGAGAAAATTCACAAAATTGTACAAAAAATCGTCCTTAATTTTTCCGAGTCGTACAAACAGTTTTGTGAAATATACTTTCGACGGAAACTCCTTCAAAAATTAAAATCCTCGATTCAGTTAATTCTTTTTGGACCTCGCCATTCAAATTTCCCCTCCGAATCATTTTTGAAGTATCCGATCTGCATAATTGCCCGGTGGAAAACAGGGATGGCGGGGTCGCTCAAGTTTGTTGAACTCTGGTAGCCTTAGAAGACCACGCCGATTGGGAAGGCCTTCCAAAACTCTACTATAATTATAAATTGCCACATATGGTCAAGAACGAGTTTAACGACCTTGCCGGCCCTAACGTAATCAATCGTTACGTTTTATGTCTGGCGAAAAGTAGAAAAAGTCCTTCATAAATTACTTCACGATCTGAACTCCCCTCAGGGTTGGTCAGACTTTCCACGCCGAGTATTTAGTCTTAATACAATATGTTAATACATTGCAAAATACAAAGACGTGCCGGATGAAAATATTTTAGGTAGGATCAAATAGGATAAGAAGTAAAAGATAATTTACTTTAAATAGGTGTTATTTATGATCAGAACTCATCAAACTGATGATATTGATATGATAAAATATTACATTTCTCACTAGCGACTTAGCAAAATTTCATATTTTTTCGTACAGTACAATAAGTACTTGGGAAATATGTTTTGACATGTGATTTTGGAAATTTCAAAAAATTTATATACGGAGGTTTTAATATACAGTAGGAGTAATAAATGTAAAAGAGAGGCTTAAAAAGTTTAGGGTTTGAATTGCTAATGTGTCCCAAAAAAACTGCCAATCGCCACTTTGCTCACTTTAACCAGTCATAGCAAACCAAACACAAAATTAAAACCAAATATCGATTTTTAATTATTAGGATGATAGCCAGTTTAATAAATGATGTAATTCAGTATTTATTTTTATTATCATTGATCCAGGAATAGCCCGACGAATTATCATTGGTCAATACGCGATCGTTCTCTCTCATCAGAACGACTGGTTAAAAAAACTTTACTGTTACGGTTTTGTTTCGGTATTGGTATGTTAATAATAAAGTAGAAAGTTATACTTCCGATCAGTGAAGTATTAAAGAAAGTTCGAAAACATTGAAAGTTGAACAACTTTGAAACGGCTGTTACATAATTGTTGGATCTCATTACGTGGTCATTTTGGCCTATCTCCCAGGTCATTTTCCAATTAACAGAAAAGCTTGACGCGAGGGGCGTAATGTCAAATTTCAGCTGTCGGGGAGATGAGTCGACCGGCTGAAAATCCAACTTCCTGAACATGTTAGATTTGCCGTTGAGATATATCTGCCGTCGAGATACGTGTTATCTGGAGGAAGCCTCAACAACTCTTATCTGACGTAAACAAGGTTCCATTGAACTGGAACTTGAATAAAGAGGCCGACGAGAGTCTGAACCTCTTTCTTCCCCTCCGGATTAATTGAATAAGTAATCGCAGGAGTGAACTAAAGGACGAACTACGGACCATGGACGCTGGTTATGTCTAAGAAGAATAAGAAGTATATAATAATAATAATCTAAGCAGATTCCCTGACAAATTCAGCCTTACAAACATAGAATTGACTTCCAGTGGTCTACGGGGTGATAAACCTGTAATTTGACCCTTTCCGATCATCTTGGTCTGCCTATCCTCCCCTGGTACATCTGTCAGACGCTATATTTCTGCCATCTTCAGTGAGATACAAACACTTCAGTAAAAATGCTGAAACGAGTCTGGCATACCAACCCAGCGAGGATAGGTAACCAAGATGATTCGATATGGACAAAAACACAAATCAACACATTATCAATAACATAAACCCAGTATTGAAGATGTGCGAAATGTCATAAAGCTTTTCACTCCAAAGCAGTCTTTGATCCGTTCTGAATTTATCCTAGAAGTCTTTAGCGCTCACCCTGCTTATATCCTTGACTGACCATTAAAAGAGCAGAAGGGTTGGAAGCCCCGTCGATAACCCCTTTTTCAAAACATATTTTAATTAATAATTACTTTAAAATGGAGTTTTAACACAGAAAACCATGAACTGCCACAAATTCAAAGTCAAAAGACAAAAATTTTAACTTTGACGTTTAGAAGAAAAATCGTATATTGAAGAAGGTTTGCGATATCAATGTTATGAAAATTATTTTTAAAATATAACACTTTATTGATCTCAATCAGGTACTTTGGTACTAAATAAAAAGGGACCTACGTGGATTTTCATGATTAACTCTTTTTTCTGAATTTCCCCTTGGAATGGTTTAAAGGGACGTTAAGAAATAAACACCTATGCAGTAATTTGGCTAATTGTGTAATAATAATTTGGTTTTGAGGATGGCATCATCACATGAAACTGCGAATGATAAGCGAAACATCAGGACTTTAAAGCAACGCAAAATATTCACTCTTTTCCAATTCATACGTTAACCGATGTAATCCCATCTTCCAGAAACGTGCCTCGACTATTAAAGGTCCTGGAGAGAGTCCAAACCGACCCGACGTCTGATCAATGGGTTTTTGCCAAATGGTAAAAGTGAAAATGGTAGAGAGAGATATACGCCGAGGTTGGGCCACAGGTTGGACGTAAAAAGGGTACAAGAGAACCCGACCTGTTTATCAATATTTAACAATGATAGGAATTTGTAAAATTGCAATCAAAACCAATTTTACAGTGTTGTTGCAAAAAAGCCAATCAATTTGGCGACTTCTTTGCCGAGCACAAGCGTTCATAAGTGTGTTTATCAACGTTTCTAAGGGAATGACCTCTTTATCTTAATCGAGATTGACAAGTTTACTGTGGGAGATAATAAGCTCGGAAAACTTGCCGGTGATTAGTCTTTGCTTTTAGAAGTTCGTTTGCTCGTTTGTTTGCCATTTGTCTATTATTTGCACCTAGGTTCGATCATTTGCAACAAAATCACAAATTTCTATCGGCCCGATTGTCATTTAACAGTCAAAACACTATATATTGGAAGGTGGTTTAATAAATTCGCCTGATTCGTCAGATGAGTTTAACCATTTCGACTTCTTTAGTGGACAGTCAGGAGTATAAGCAGGGTGGAGATGGCGAAAAGCCGGGACGCATCTGATGGATCATGCCTGCAGGCCAAACAAAATATTCGGGAGCTGCAGGCTTTGAATTGGTCGTTTTCAATTATTTCCGGTTTATCAGACGCGCTTCAGCACTTGGCCATCATAAGTGCTGTCAGGGATATAACAGAGTGGAACACCGACACAAACCACTAACATATAGCGAGGATAGGCGGACCAGAAACAATCAAATTCGGATTTGTTGAATAATAAAATGGAGGAAGTGAAAGCTAGCACTATAAAACTTGGCCATCACATTTTCCCCATTAGATTTGTCATAAAAATATCTGAACTGCTTTCTACACACGCTTTTATCGTAATCTTCAAGTCTTAATTTAAAATCTTTAAAAATCAGGACTTAATTAGATGCAATATTTTTCGAAATAAGAGGTTTCGGGCTTACTAAGTACAACTTAGCTTTCCTTTGCTTTAACTTTTTTTTTTGTGGCATTTTATGATTTGAAAAAACGACGTAAATCTTATGAAGCGATTAGAACGTAAAATGTCATAAAAATGTATTAGAGAATTTTGGCATGGTGACAGAATCATTAAAAAGATAGTAACATAAATATGTAAGCTGAAGTTTATTTCGAAGAAAACTGTATAAACATTTGAAAAATAATCAATAATTGTTAACTATATTTACTGTCGTCTCAGGGCAGAGAATAAGAAAATTCAAATTCACAAAATAAAACATGAACTATAAAAACGATACGTTGATGATGCCATACCATAAGTATTTATGCGAGCCATATGGGGAAAAAACTATTGTTCTTTGAAATTTTACATTATAACTGGTTTAAAATTTCACAGTTTATTATGTTGAAAGATAATTAAACAAAATATCGTCAAATAGAGTAAACTAATTTCAATGATCCATGAGAAACGGAATCTGGTAATATCTAAGAATATGTTTTTGTGTAACTAATGATCAATATTAATGACAGTATTTCAACAAGACAAGATATAGTTAAACAAGGAAAATCATTGTTTCATTCAGGCCTTCGCATACAATTAAAATTAATAGAAATAGAAATTAAGAGAATGGTGGCAAATGCAATGCCATGAAACTGAATAATCTGGACAAAAACTGCCTATTAATTTACTACCATTGATGCGTGTATGTTAATTATTAATTTCTGTGGTTATATTGAACAGAAAAACAACCTGTTTTACTTGTTGTTACAATTTACAACGTGAATGTTCTTAACAGAACAAAATTTAGACTTTTAATACTGTTTTTGTCATATAGGAGAGCGATGGATGTAAAATAGTCTTTAAACACTAAAAAGTGTTTAAGCAGAGAATAAAAATAAAGAATTTCGTCAGGCCTAGTAAAAATAAAAACGACGTTTTGGTGAAATAGATGGGATCTTCTCGATTCTTCTCTTTTTCTGTAATAACAGTTTCTTATGATGATATTCCAAGGAATTGAGGAACTTTTGCAATATAGTTATCAAATATCGTAGTTTTAATTGTTCAATAATATCACAAAATAATAGGTTGGAAAGACATCAATGTGAGGAAAGTCGTCCCCTTTTCAATGGAAAAAATATTTTTATGCACGGACACGATCTCGCGTGATTATTATTTGTTCGTTATGAAGATCGACTTCTGAATTTAAACTTTACAATGATATTAAATTCAATCGTTGAGAAATGTTTTAACGGGGGCTTTGTTGCCAAGCAAACGTTGACCCGTATTTTTGGTGGGGAAATCGGAAGAGGGCATCGCCCGGGAGCCGTCGGTCGGCGAGCAATGGCATGATGATGACTGGTGGATGCAGAGTATGATGGAAGCGTTTCTATGAATGATGAAATGATATTGTTTTTTGTTTGTTATTGTTGCGGGTCTGTCGCGTACCTCGGATAGAATTGGTGGTGTGCGGGTGGGTTCTCTCCTGATCGGCGGGCGACCCGGGGGGAGGCGTCGTGCTGGACACGTCCTCGGCCCTCGGCGGCCAAGTTCTGCTGCTCCGCCCTCCCTCCCGGCCGCCTCCGCCCTCTCCAAAGAGTTCTTCAAGAGCCGCCGACGCAGCGTCCATTATTCCAAATCATAACTCATGACACCCGCGCACAAAAATCTACACTTCCGGGCACTCTGCGCACTCTTCCTCTTTTCGGGGGTTGGGCAACGCGTTTTTCCTTTTATCGGGTTTGGTCGTTATGTGAATGAATTAACTAGAAAAAATTAATGCATTAGACAGGTCGAAATGTGGGAAAATCGTGAAGGAGCGACACTTACACATCGAGTCAAGTAGGCAAGAGGAAAGAGAGGAAAGTCTCGGCCAACATGATTCTCACGGGGCACTGGTCCGGCGATTCCTGATGAAACTCGTCATAACAACCCTCGTGATACACGTACTTAAAAAAAATATTTCGGGTCGAAGGCGTGGGTGTGTATCGGGGAGGGGGTACGAATTGGCAACGCCGCTGCGAGTTTAACGACCTCGGCACGTCGCGAGCGACCTCGCCAAATCTAGCCGAAACCGACTGCGATTCGGTCGATGGGACGCAAAATTTTGACAAAAGGGTAAAACCGGCCGTTCGTCGCCTTGGTCATCCGGGACGGCGGACAGCGGATTTCGGGACCGTCCGGACGGAACACACTCGCACGACACGCGGCCTGCGGCTGTCGGAAACGGAAGGGGAAACGAAAAAACGAAAATAAAATGGGACTGATACGAAAACCCGAGTACGTTCGAGTCGGTGGAGTTGGCCGGGAAAGGGAGCGCACAAGACTGAGCTCCTTCCCAGTTCAACGACCGAGTTAGCCTAGTGACGAAACATAACGGAGCCGGGCGACGGCACCCGAACACCCACGATTCCAGTTATGCAACGAACGGAGAGACGGGCGCACTCGCACTCCTACAGCACCCCCGCGATGCGACCATACGATACGCGATCGCAGCCTGCGTTTTTACTTCCTCGTACGATTTGGCAACGAAAATCCTTCTATACGCCGCAAACCTCCCTAAAACACTCCTCATCACCAAAAAGATACGATTCTTGGGGTGAACAACCTTCACTTTCCTCAATTTTGCCTTTTCATCCAATCTATATAGAAGATTTGCCCAAGTAGTAAAACAGATTATGTTGCCGCAATAAAACACAAAGACGTATCTACAATTTCAATCGATTTTAAAATATCGCTTCATCAAAATCGCACAAGTTACACCGTGAAGTCAGAGCCCTTTGCTCAACCACTCAGACCTTTAAATAAAAAAGTAAATTCAATAGAAACCATGTTTACATCATTAAAAGATGGGAAACGCGTCTCTCGAATCAAAGCAGAGAGGACAAACTGGGATGATTAAAGTTCGTGTTATTCACTCTGTGAACCTCAAGACAAAATCACTATAGACATGCTCATAAGTGCAAATTTCACATTGTAAATACTGTAAACTGCTGTTCATGATGATTCACTATCTTGGAAGAAGTCGAAATGCCAAAACGCGTCTGACAAAAAACCGAGGTGATCGTAAAGGGCCTGCCAGTTCCTCACCCTTCCGACTTCAATATAAAGCTGACGATAAAATTAAGTTATTTACTCCAAATTACTTCCAAACTGAAAGCAACATATTAAGATAGTTGAACACTTTTATGCAAATTATTAAACCTTATCAGTGACGTCGTGGTAGGTGATGTTGGGAAAAAGACTGTACACGCCAGGTGTTCGCGATACGATCTGTCTCAGAATCAGAAACACGATATTTTCAAAAAGAGCCAGTAAGCTCATAAAATATTATTTCTGTTGATTTGGTGTTTGGGAAGAATAACAAAAGTGCGGTGATGATATGGGATTTTAGTACATTCAATATTTTTAAAATACTATTAATAAAACTCTCCTAGCACGCACGATAGCATTTAATTTTCTTTTTGGTTTCCTTTCCCTTTTTCTTTCTTTGAGGAAGAGCACATCTTACTCCGCACTCTGTTAAACATGGATTACATACTATCAAGGATTTATTATTTTTATTGATTGTCATTAACATCAGCGGTATTACGTTTTAAAAGGTAATATTTTATTTGTTCTATTTAGTTTAAAGAACTGTACCCGCTGGTAAGTGCTCCTCACACAGCATAGATAGAAAAAAAGTCTTTCTACCTTATCGTTTTGCTCTGACAGACCCATTTTGGATTTTCACCACCGTCATTAGTCAGTTAATGCCGGTGCCTAACCGTGGTTATATCCCGACAATCTTAAAGCAGGGAAATTGCTAAAACGCAAGGAAAGTCAGACCGAAATGATCAGAAAAAGCAAATTAAAGATAGAAAAAAATGAATACAAACACATCTATGTGCGAAAAATTTAACTCAATAGGGTTTAGGCCACTGAATGTGTGATAACAAAAATGTGAGTTTTTAAAATTTATTTATTTATGTATGTCTTACGTAAGAAAATATATAATTTAAACAGAAATTCATCTACCTTCTATTTCAATTCATCGTTTTTGTTGCTGACACTGAAGTCTTTTAGATTTTTTAATCTTTCCTCATAGCTTCTTGTTTCGTTAAGATATTAGGATGCGCAGGCATAAAAGGGTTTAGAAATAAGGAAGTTATAGAAAAGGTAACATTTTTTGTTAATAAGGTGAGAATGAGTGAGATTTACATAAAAACGCACCCTTGACAACTGGGGAAGGGAACACGTTAAAAAGACCACTTTTGTCCATAAACGTGTTTTGAATGCAGCTGGTCAGGTTCTTTCACGCTATTATGAAACTTAACTAGCCTGTGTACTTCCTATTTGAACCCCTGGAAGAACAAGGGCCCTTTCAGCTTCTCCTTAAACAGAACCGTTCTTCCAGCTTCCCGAATTTCTTACGAACGTCCTAATGGGGAAATAAACTTTTCGTGTTGTTGTCCGGCGGTTATTTTCGGCCGGGTCTTGAATAAAGTGTACACAGACCCCGCTATCTTATTTGCAAATCCGCTATCGTGCGTTATCGGCCCAACGTCGATTATGATATTGGGACAATGCTTTCAATGAAGCTAAAGTAATGAGTACAACTATGCTGAACCTAGACTGTGCAATGTTTTACTTATGAAAACTAAGCACGAAAAGGGCCTTTTAGGTTTCATAAAGTTTCCTACGAAAAATAATTTAAATTGACAACATAGACCTCTCTTGTCACACAGTTTTTAAAGTATGGAACAGTGTGTAATCCGACTGTTTTTTTCATTCTTGGCTTATCTCTGCGAACCCTGTACTGGCAATTGGCCCCAACCTTGAATTCAATAAACGTGAGGCTTATTGCCTATTACTCGTCGGACGGCTGGACTGTACGTAAACAGCTATAATATTTAATCGTGCTATTTACGGAACAGTACGTCAGCCAAAACATAACAATGAGGTTTGTAGTTGAAAAAGAATGAAAAAGGAAACCACACTGAATTTTTGAAAGTTGTTGAGGAGAATATGTTAATGGATACATATGGCATCCACAGTTAAACTTTACGCCTGACGGTTCTGTGGAATGCGAAACCAAGATATCGACTTGGGCGAAAGACAATTCTACAATAAAAAACGGTTATTTCTGCCAAATTTTACTTTTATAAAACCGAAAAACTGATAAGGAACAGACTAGCTATATCAGGCTTTTTCATTTGTCGGTCAAGTCTCAGGTTTTTGGCCCATTCAATGATCGGCCAGGGAAATAAGCAGGTTAAGACGTCACTTCACAATCCCAATCTTTCCGAAATGTCGAAACAGGTCTGACAGACCAAACCGATGAGGACATACAGACCAGAAATGACTGCAGGTCCATAACACCCCAGAATAAAAAAGCAAATATGATCCGGTTTTATCTTGTGTTGCTTAAGCTATTTTGCAACCCTGATAAAGAACAAAACCATGGTTCACACGAAGTCAGAAAAGGAATAAATTTAAGCTTCTTTTTTTAAAAATCATTTCGGGTCAACTCTGCCATCACATCACTGACCAAGCCATCTAGAGAGAACCTTCTGATACGGGAAAATGAATAAAATCATTTCGGGTCAACTCTGCCATCACATCACTGACCAAGCCATCTAGAGAGAACCTTCTGATACGGGAAAATGAATAAAACTGTTGTACTTAAGTATTGACAAAGCCTGAAGAACATTTCATTTACACTAAAGGAATCACTGGAAGAACCGGGAACAGCTAAAAAGTGAAAGACTCTTGATCTAAAGATAAGATAACGTATCAGGACATAACCCCTCCAAATCAACAATGGACAGTACTCGACTACACATGAAAAATGCGGCCTTTTCGCTGATTTCTAAGGACTTATACATAAACGCTTATACAAGTCAAAGTTTGTACAATTCACTATTTTTCGTGGTCCGCTTGACCAATTAGTATCATTCAATTAATTAAGGTTTTTAATTGAGATAAAAAGTCAGTGTCACGAGCGGGATTCGAAACCACGACCTTTTGCTTGATACGCCGCTACTCTACCACTTTGTACAATATCTGATGCAGCAAGCTGGGCACTGTTACGAGTGTAGATTAAGATCCAGAGTGTAGATTAAGACCATTAAGATGGCATCCCAATAGTTCAAACGATAACTGAACGGTTAAATTTCACAAAGTAACATAAAAAAAGCTAATATTCTTGTCCAATATAGATAGATTATGTAGCCTGGCTGCTTTTTTAAAAGATATTTTTCAATTTTCAAATACCTCTCCGGTTGCAATGAAAAAAATGTAAAGGTATCTGTATTTTTACCATGAATAGTGTATTTCAATACTTTTGAGGTATCGGAGTAAACTGTTGCCAAATCAATGATCCGAGGTGAATAAAAGTTATAAGTTTTCTCTAAAGAAAATCTAAAACGTTTACAAGGATAAAATAGATATACCCTGAATAGGATCCGTTTAACTGTCGGCAGGAATGGCATTATGTCCTTTTGTACAGTTCCTGCAGTGGTATTTTTCTGTTTTCTTTTTGAGGTGCAATGCGGAGGATTCTATTTAAGTTGGTACCTCTTGGGAGATCCAATTTCCCCCTGCTTCAACCTAGAGCTCGTAAAGTTAAAAAGATCAAATAAGTAGTTTTGTTAATATATTGGAACTGAGACCAACTTATATCATTAATTAATCCATATTGGCTTAGTGATCATAATTGACCATATTAATTATTCCAATTAACCATTCTTTTTATCTATGGTTTTTGGTTGAGATGAAAAATTAGCGTCACGCGTGGGATACGAACCCATGACCTTCGGCTCAATACGCCATTCCTCTTGTGCTATCGAGACTGTAAGTTATCGTGTAAATGGTTAGAGCACCGAAAAAATTATTAATTGGTATATTATTAATTTTTTTGAAATTTTATCTGCGCGCATAATATTTATGGCCGTCAACTTCTTAATTGATAAAACGTTCATTTCGAAAGTTCATGGATGCGAATTATTCATAAGAAGTTGTAGGAGCAGCAGAAGGAAGAAAAGGGAGATAAAACCCGAGGTACGGACCACAGCCTTTTACATCATCAGTACGAACTTTCCCTCGGACAGATTTTTTCCTTTCTCGCTCGAAAACTCGTTCCGAAAACGGGCACGGTTGTAATTAGTGGGTGGGCGAGAAATCACAGAGGCCGTTGTGTCCGCTATGTCATGCTAAGTCCCTAATGTTGCACAAAATGCCATTCAAAGAAATTTTGTCGGTGTCGCTCTAAAGAATAAGATACGAAAGTTTGCCCGTTTGCCTGGATTGGCCTTTCACAAATATCTTTTAATAAATAAACACATTTAAAATTTTAC